CATTGACTGTCTCGAGTGGATAAATATCGTATCACACTCGATGCAGTGGTAGAATCTATATATCTCAGCTATTTCTCAAGTATCAAATAATGTTTGTACCGTAATGTTTCTGCTATCCAATCCTACCACTTTCAAAAGTTATTTCCAATTTATTTTTTTTAAAGATTCAATGTCTGAGATTATGCACATACACTGTCCCATGTTAGGGGAGAGTTTTGTGCCAGCTAACATGTTTAACCCGCCACATTCTGTATGTACCTGTCCATAGTGAGGACCCAGAAATTTGGTGATTGTTGATTGTTGCTGTATATCATATTTATTTTTCATAATTGTTTTGTACATAAATCAGGCTGCTTTAGTTTTATTGTTTTACATTTGTCATTTCGTGGTCGTTTATATCTTACTGTGCAGTATAGGTTTTGCTAATTGTTGCAGGCTGCATGGAGGAATATTCTTTTCAGAATAATAATTTCAATTATGGTGTCCAACAGTGGTGTATGGTTTAATTCCACTATGTTCTAGAGTTTGAATATGCCATATTAGCGCTTTTAGTTGGATCAGCTGGTGCCACTATGCACAATTATCAAATCATACCTGAAACTATCTGAAATGGTGTAATTTTCTTGTATACTAGTATTACAAGAAATGCTGATGTTGTTATAATGGCCTAGCAATGATGCAACATATATTTTTGAAGGCTGTACGGTTGCCTGCAATTGCTTACATCCACTTCATTTGAATTTTGGTGGATAGTTGTCTCATTGGCAATCATACCACATCTCCTTATTTTTATAATAATTACACATGTCTAATCTATAATAAGCTATTAACACAACGTAATGTTTTGCCTATTTGTTATTTTGATAATGCAAATGTTACACTTAAAATAGTAATACTTTAACATGTAAGTGATATTCAAAGTCAATGAACCATGACTGAAGGTACAAGGCTAAACAATCTCTATGGAAATGAAAGGTGCCAATGCTTGTTCAACTGCAAACCAAATAACATTGACTTTTCATAAGTCGTTCCCTTTAAACAAACCTTAACACAAATTCAATTTCTAAGTCAATGAACCATAATGAGGGGGTGGGGTTATATAATATCCATTGAAATGAAACTTTTGAATACCAATACGTTCGCATAACAAATAGCTTTGACTTAAGATTACTGGTAATTTTAAACTGACATAATCATAATAATCACAAACTCATTCATGTAAACTAAGTAAAAGTTTCAAAGTCAATAGATCATGCATATGACTGAGGGGTGAGGACCAAATATCCTCTATGGAAATGAGACGTACTAATGCTTCTACACCTACATGCCAATTATCATTGACCTACCACTATTGGTTTCCCTAATACTAACCTAATCGAAAACTAATAAATGAAATTTCAAAGTAACATAAGTTTTCAAGTAAAAAGAGCATGATTGAGGGGGCGGGGCCAAATAATCTCAATGGAAATTAGAAATGAAAAAGTTTATACAACTGCACACCAAATATCATTGACCTACCACTAGTGGTTCCCCCTAAACTGACCTAATCACAAACATATACATGTAAACTATGCAAAGTGTCAAAGTCAATAGACCATGACTAAGGGAGTGGGGCCAAATATTCTCTATGGTAATGAGATGTGCCTATGCTAACACAACTACTTACAAAATGTCATTGACCTACCAGAAACCAGACCTTATCACAAAATCACAAACTAATACATTGTTGATTCCGCCAAAACAGCATGCCTATATATATATATATGTCTCACTTTTTGACTCTGTCAAGGCAAGACAAAAATTGCAACAAAATTAATACAAATATTTTGTCCATCTTTTTTTAATATTCTTCATTTCTTAGATATATCAATGCTGCGTTCACACATAATTCGAATTCGATTCACATTATTAACTGATTTGAATTAGTTTAATACGCATTCGAAACGTTTAATGTCCAAAAGTAAATTCTACTTGGAATTGCAATACACGTCAAAATCGCTTTACTGTGAATGCAGGGGTTAAAATTAACATTTGGTACTGGACAGTCCAGGACCTTTGACACTCCAAACTGAAAGGTCCACAACCTAAATTCCAGGTCCTGCTTTTACTTGAAATAGTTCATAACTCAGTAAGATACTTTAATGTGCTTTTGGTGTTAAGTTAGCTTGTTTCATTGTCAGTGTCACTGTCGTTTAACTTGTTTAATAATAAATGTAATTGTCTTGTATATTAATTTATGAATTCAAATAATCTTTTTTTTTGTATTAGGAAGGCTGAGGGAGGCTGAGGGTATCACTGTGGGTGTGTGTTCCTCTGTGAAAATAAAGTAAGAAACTTCCAGATTTTTATAGGCCCTTCAAAATTGAGAAGAAATTACCTCATGGAATTGTAGTAATATGTTTAAACAATAAAAACATCTACATGTAATATCAATATTTATTAATGATAAGGAAAATACTGTCACATTTTATTGGTTTTTGACATGAAAATTTGTGAACTAAAAGTAATTTTGAGTTTCTGTATAAAATATTTCCTGCTTTTTCTTTCTTTTCAATATATCTTTGGTTTTCAATTCTAGAGTTTATATTTCATCATGATAGATGTATTTTGTCTCATGCCTGGAATTATTATATTTTTATTGTATTTGATCGGCAAACCCGGATTTTCCCTTATCCTCCCCCGGAATTAGATCCGGTATTATAATTGTCTTCATTTCCGGTTTATGGCATCCATTGTTTTTCGATGTTGTTTTTGTCAGTCAGATACGATTTACTCGGATTTACACATAACATGTTGGCGATTTTCGGTATAAAGCTAGCGGTTGAACAAAATGATTATTATCAGAAATCACCAAATTTTAAACGTCCTTGATTTACGTATTGTCGACGAAGTTAAAATTACCGCCAACTGAGACTTCAACTCCGTGTCATATTAGTCACAGCCGTTATACAATATTCCTGCGCTTTGTGCCATTTGGCAACTGTAAACCACTTGTAATTAGAGATTTTCGGCGATGAAATAATTCATGCAATTGTTCTTTGACATCTTGGCCAAAAGCACAGGGGATAATAAACTACATAAGGATTTCTATTGAGCACTACTTCCTATGTGCAACTTCAAAACTTTTGGGTGGTTCGACGATCATTTAAGGTTTTTCTGGTCATATTTTTTGTATTCCAGAATTAAAAGTATGAAAAAAGTGTTCAATTAGTTATAAATAACATAATAGCCAGCCAGATAATAACAATGGCACATATTTCAGCATTTATTGGGTAGAACACAAATCAAGGATGCTCGCATAAAGCAGCTTAACTGCTTAAAAATGAAAAAGAATATTTTCAAAATTTTGCCTTGGATACTGTAGTTTGGTCATTAAGAAGCTTTGAATATTCTGTCTCAATTTCACAAAATCCCATGTCTGTTTGACAAAGTTATCGATGTTCAAAAAAAATTTAACCACAGACTGAACCTAAATTTTAGGACAGCGATGCCGCCTCTGGCAGAATCTAGGATCACTGTCTCGCTTTCGTGAAATAAATTTGCAAGCTTGACAAAAAGCAGAACATTTATTTCAGATATTGAAATTCTAAGCAATAATCAGTCAAGGGTGTAACTTGAATAAGTTATTAGAGAAAAATAACATACATGTGTTATTACGGATACTTTCTCTTAATCTGTAGTAACATATGTTTGTTATCAGTTAAATGTACCATAATAATTTTTATTTTCAGTGGGCACTTGGGAATTCTTGAAACTTGCGCAGTAACTTAATACAGATTAAACTAATTTTCCAATTCAATTAATACATTTTTGATCAACCATGGTAAATCAATGAGACAAGGCTTTTAAGTGATAACTTAGCTGTAATAACAAGGCATAGTTATTACAGGCATTTAACTTATTACATGAGACACTTGGGAATGACTAGGAAGCTTGCGCAGAACCTCATTACATGCTTCTTATCATTATTTATTACAATAAATTAAAATACATTGTGATATATATAGGAGAAAAGGCTTTGAAGAGATGTAGAGAAGCTGTAATAACACCCTTTAGTTATTACAGGCATATTTTTTCTGTAATAACACGGGTGTGTTATGCATGATTGGCAAACTATGGGCTGTTATATCTTTCTTAAGTTTAATGTACATAAAGACAATTATAATATCAATAGAAATAGTACACAATTTAATAAAATAGAGGATGTATAATGTCCCTTTGAAACATGTAACATACATATGTTATCACAGATTTTTGATTTTTTAGCCCTCAATAACAAATGTATGTTATTTTTCTCTAATAACTTATTTAAGTTAGACCCTTGACTGATTATAAATACTTATATGCTGTTATGGTCCTACATATTTTTGTGTGCTCAATATTTTGGCATTACACAAAGTCATGCTTTCTTAGACTGTTTGAAATGACAAATGTTTTGTTGTTACATTAATTGATTAAATCTGTCGAAGGTGAACTGATAGATATTTTAGTTTGGGAAAACATAATTTTTGCATCTTTTATTATTTTGTTATTTCTTTTTAAGTGCTTGTTGATGAGTCCAGCCCTTTCTGGCTGATTCTGTCATTTGGTTCTTATGTTTGGTGCTGTCTGCCATACTGTGTGTAGTTTTATTTTTTTCATTGGTTCACATTTTTTCATCCTTATTCAAGTTACATGTATAGCCATAATATGTTACTTTATGGTATGTATTTTGATCATTGTTTATGGCTGTACAGTGACCAGCAAATGTTTACATCTTCGTCCTATGGTTTTTTATTTGATAGTTGTCACATTGAGAATCATACATGTACCTCATCTCCTTATACATGTTATATCTATATGCTGGTTCATAAAAAAAGCTTAAAAGGAAATTATTCAATTGTTATACATGTATGTTTGAAAACTCATTCCTATAATGCAAAAACAATAATCGATTGATTTTTCTTGCTTATTTTAATGTTCAGAGGCAAATATTTTACAATGTATGCATATTTAAGACGAGAACAACTTTTAAATATACAATTCATAATATAAGCAAATGCTATAATTATTTGAACTTCTGACATCTCATGCGTGTGTGTGTGTGGAGCAGAAGAAGGAGAACAGGATAAGGATTCCTTGATGCATACTTGACATCAGAAAGACATAAATAAACAACAGTATACATGCCGAAACATGTACAATTACACTTGAAAAAGGTTTAAATAGATAACATTAAATTATTTAAATTAACTGCAATTCTACAGATGAACTTACTTTGATACCAGTTCTTTTTGCCGGACATCCGCATCTACATGTACACCAGTGATTCTAATACTGCACTTTCCTTTCATTTGGTAACCATGGTAATAAGCTAAAATTGTAAATCTTAATTTAATCCAGAATTCCAGACAAAAACTAGATCATTTTTGTAGATGAAGTATGAACTGATGCTCAGAGTCACTAATTTATATTTTTACTTTTGATTGAATGGAAAAAATGTGTAAGCAAACAACAACGGTCGTATAAAAAGATCAACAGTGTAACTAATATTAATAATATATGTATAGCCTAAGCCCGTCTTAGTATAGTATGAACTTTTTTCCAATATAAAATCATCTATTCTGCTGTCTACAGTTTAAAATAAAATGCTCTGCTGGGCGCAGCTTGATACCACCGCAGAGGTCGAACCCTGAACAGTTGGGGCAAGTATGGACACAACATTCAAGCTTGATACAGCACTGAATTTGGATTGTGATTAAATATTTGACACAGCATAGGTTTCTGACACAGAATGAATATGGTCTAAGAACTTAAATTTTTTTAATTTACCTATTCAAACCATATCATTATTATTTGCTTTTATATATAAATCCGAAATAACCAATTTAAAATGGAAAATTTTAAAGAAAAAAAAAAGGAAAAAGGGGAAAAAAAAATCCCTCCCCCAAATTTTTTGAACCCCCTTATGATTCATCACCCCCAAACTCAATCCCAGCCTTCCCTTTGTGGTATGGTACCTTGCAGTACAATTTCAGAGAGATCCATACACTTGAACACAAGTTATTGTCTGGAAACTAGAAAAATGCTTGTTTTTTAGGCCCCTTTTTGGTCCCAAATTCCTAAACGTTTAGGGCAATTACCCCCAAACTCAAACCCAGCTTTCCCTTTGTCATATGGAACCTTGTAGTACAATTTCATAAAGATCCATACACTTACACACAAGTTATTGTCCTGAAACTAGAAAAATGCTTGTTTTTAGGCCAGTTTTTGGTCCCAAATTCCTAAACGTTTAGGGCAATTACCCCCAAACTCAAACCCAGCTTTCCCTTTGTGATATGGAACCTTGTAGTACAATTTCATAAAAATCCATACACTTACACACAAGTTATTGTCCGGAAACTAGAAATATTCTTGTTTTCTGCCCCTTTTTGGCCCCTAATTCCTAAAATTTTGAGGCAATTACCCCCAAAATCAATCCCAGCCTTTCCTTTGTGGTATGGTACCTTGAAGTGCAATTTCAGAGATCCATACACTTGAACACAAGTTATTGTCTGGAAACTAGAAAAATGCTAATTTTTTGCCCCTGTTTCCTAAACATTTTGGGCAATTACCCCAAAACTCTATTCCAGCTTTCCCTTTGTGATATGGAACCTTGTAGTACAATTTCAGAAAGATCCATACACTTACACACAAGTTATTGTCATGAAACTAGAAAAATGCTTGTTTTTGCCCCTTTTTTTGGCCCCTAATTCCTAAAATTTTGAGGCAATTACCCCCAAAATCAATCCCAGCATTCCCTTTGTGATATGGAACCTTGTGATACAATGTCAGAGAGATCCATACACTAACACACAAGTTATGTCTGGAAATTACAAAAATGCATATTTTTGGCCCCTTTTTGGCCCCTAATTCCTTAACTGTTGGTACCATAACCCCAAAAATCAATCCCAACCTTCCTTTTGTGGTATTGAACCTTATGGTAAAATTTCATAGAGATCCATTCTCTTAACTAAAGGTAGAGTGCGAAAACCAATGTGTCTTCTGACGACGACGACGCCGACGTCATACTAATATACGACTGCAAAATTTGTTTGCGGTCGTATAAAAAACAACATTTAGGCATTAACTCTTGATGTTTATTAAATCTTGATTTCCTGTTACATATTTTGTTTAAATACACCATTTGTAGGCATGTTGTGGAATCTCAATAAATACTTATGATTGCAATGTACGTTTAATCGTTGTTGTAGTATGAAATCTATACAATAACGTCATTCACTACAGCATTAGGGTTACAACGTTACCATAGTTCAATGTTAGTACTTCGCGTATACTATTTTCAGACAAGGCAATATTAACTCATGAACATAATATGCTGTCATTTGTGTTACCATCCATTCTTCATGCATTTAATAAAAGAACAGCGCTTCAATGTACCTCACAATTGATGGATATATAAAATTTGCTGTCAAAAAGCAAAAAATATGTATGTTCTTTTAACCTTTTTCATAAATTATAAATAATCTAAAAGAAATGAAGACATGTGTGGGATTGCTTGCAATGCAGTTTTTCTTACAATATCTATTTCCAAGAGGTATTACTACTGTAAACATATTTGATCAGCAGTTATTTTCTAACTCATAAAACTAAAAGACCATGCTGGTATAGACCTATGGTATGAATTACAAAAATATCTGACAAAAAAATGCAACCATAACAGTGCTTTACTGGTTATCTTCCATAGAATTTACATTTCAAAATGAAGTAATTCCTGTATAAATAATTTATCCAAGACATTACTGGTATATAATAAACTTTTGGTATACATTATTATATGAATAAACTTTAGACATAGAAGTATGTCTTCTCTGTATGAAATCCTGTTAATTGATTTCAAATGTTGATATTCAAATGACAATGCTTAAACATCCAAAGTCACACACCATCCCTGACTTGACAAAGTTTCAAAATCAATAGATCATGACTGAGGGCTGGGCAAAATAAAAACAAGGGATATGAAATGTGCTAGTACTCTGACATATACAACTGCATACCAAATATCAATGATTTATCATTATTGGTTCACTCAAACTGACCTAATCAGAAACTTTTCACATTTAAGTTAAGTTAAAATATCAAAGTCAATCAACCATGACTGAGGGATTTGGACCATATAATCTCAATGGAAATGGAAATGAGAAGTGGATATCCTACTTCTACTGCAAAAAATATTATTGACTTATTTAACCATAACACGGCCATAAGCTATTGTTTGGTTCCTCTGTAACTGACCTAATCTCAATTTTTAACAAATTGTTTATGACTTCGCCTCTGTTACAGCATGCCCAAGACTCACCTTCATGACTGTTGTTGCAAGACAAAAAAAGAACCAGCAATGAAGTGTTAACAGAGCTTCCAACCCTATTTTCTATAAAATTGACCTGTAAAAAAAAAAATTTGTCACTGCTTATAGACATGATAGAAATAGCCCACAACAAGAATCAAAACTTTCAACTCTATCATGTCTATGACCTCAAAACTTGCAACATGTATACAGAGTCTGCCAACAACAAAATATTTAAACAAAGTTATCCTCTTCATTACATACCTCTCATCACAAAATTATTCGTTGACTACTGCTCCTTTTATGCACATAAATCAATATGACAATCTATGAATCCATTATATAATCTAGAAAGCAAGGCCTCAAATGAATTCTGTTCTGTTGAAGTACATGTACAAAATGTACTTTCATTCAAAATGCTAAAAGAAATAATGTATAACATGTTCAAATGTATAATAGAATGAAGTTACAATATATCTGCCAAATTGGCTTAAATATTTTTATATGGCAAAATTGGCTTACATTTGTATTTTGATCTTTTAAAACAAGAACAACAGATCTAGACTTGCCCTGTTTCTTGTTGCTGTATATCATATTTGTTTATTTGTTCCTTGTTTTGTTTATAAATCATTAGCAGTCTGTTAGTTTCCTCATTTGCATTATTTTACATTTGTCATTTCCATTAAATGTCTTTTATAGCTGACTTTCTGGTATGGGCTTTGTTCATTGTTGAAGTCATCTTGTACCATAACTTATACTTGTTAACTTCTATGTCATTTGATCTCTTGTGGAGAATTTGACTCTTCTCATTGGCAATCTTACCACATCTTCTTATTTTTATATTCACATTTAAGTAGATGTAAAGTAGACCATTCATGCACTCTAGGGTCCACTTCTTATATGTACAAGGTGATAAGACCTGTCGCTGTAATAGCCTGGGTCATATTTTTCAGCTTAAAAATATGTGAATAGGTGTGGAAAACTATCAGAAGTATAATACATGTACAAAAATGTATGATAAGGCTGAGAATTACTAGATGTTTATTGTTATAGTACTCAGTAATAGTAGTCTCAGACTCAGGATAATTAAGGCTTATTGTACTTGTCATATGATGGGGGGTAGGAGGGGTCCTGATCCCGAAATCCTGGGCTTAAAAACATGGAATCCAGAGGTCCTGAATTTAAAAAAAATTAAATCCTGACATCCCGAAATCCCGAGCTTAAAAACACCCGATCCTGGAGTCCCGATAAAGGTCCTACCCCCCCCCCCCTCATATGCAAAGCCCTGTAATTTTCTTACATTTGTGTAGTTGCAAGTCTCGTTTTGCCTTAAGTTAACATAAAATGAGGAATTTGAGCCTCAGCTTTGAGCTTTAATCAAATGTGATGATTTTCTCGGTATGCCGGAATGTGATTCTTGTCCACTCCTGCATGTCCTGGAATCACTCATAATTAAAATTGGGAAAAGGTTACATGTACATTATTACCTACACTATGTATGAAAAGGTATATACATTTTTTAAATCTAAATTATATGAAAAGGGGGGGAGTAATTGATCCCTCCAGGGGCACCCCTATCTACTAAGTGTAAAATAGCTATTAATTGCTAGAGAGATAATAAAGTCGTCTACAGTTTCATGGTTTTAAAACAACTAAAAAAAAAATACAAATACCACACATGTATCATAAGATATACAGGTCTGCATCAGTTAAAGTAATTAAGTTCTGTTGTGACATTAGATAAACAATTTCAATACATTACATCAAGTATATGATGTCCCCCCCCTTGTATACACCTTATCGCTATTTGTCCGCCATTACTGGACATCACAAAAGTTCCCGTAAAATTTTGACGTCATAATAGAAAATATCTGACGCCACAATGGAAAAGTGATTGTTGTATGACGTCAAAAGTTCAAGCGGGACAGATTCTCGGGTCAAGCGGGAATAGCGATAAGGTGTATATGATGCCCCCCTTTTCCCAAGTTTGTCTTATTGTCTAAAGGGCTTACAAATTATATGGTTATTTGGGATGTATTTGTGTCTAAATCTTGTAATATCCTCATTATGAAATATAAATAGATAATGAAACGGATTACCCAATGCAATTATATTTATATTACAATATGGGGGGGTTCCAATATCGTTCTCAGGTTTACAAATATCTAGTCAAATAGTTTTTCGTGAAAAATAAAGCACACACATCTTCCTGCTTTAATCCAATAATTAAACAAAATGTGCATAATAATATTTACCTTTCGTTGCGCTTTTGGGGTACGTAAAATTATCCATCAAAACAAAAACACTTTGACTTTCGTTGCGTTGACTTTCGTTTCATAAATTTTCTATGTTTCGTTCCCTGGTTTCTTCCAGTTAATCGACAAGTCACCCATTTCAATTTATCTGTTTATAATAATTTTTTGATTCACCAGTTTGAAAAACCAAAGTTCCTTGTATCATCTATCTCTGTCCATTCTTAAAAACTTTTAAAAAGACAGCAACAGATGATCGCGTGAGCGTCCATGGATTTTGCGTCATAGTATAAAAAACGGTAACGGTGAAAAGATTTCCGGGTTTTCGTGTTCGACGTACCATGCAAGCTTTCGTACATTTACGTATATTTGAGGGTCTGGAATCAAGATGGGGGTTTAAGGATAGAAAATAATGACAAATAGTGCAAAATAAAGAATAGATAATAAAAAAAGCAGAAATATAGAATAAAGAATCATAGAGAATAATGGGATTATTAATAAAAAATAAGAATTGAGAATAAAGAACAAACTAAATAAATGTCACCGGATATATTTATCCATTTTGTTCATTATAAAGCATTTCATATTATTTGTGTTTTCAGTGTTGTATGTTTCCCATTCATATCATATTCATATTTCATATTCTTTATTGATTCTTGACGATTGACGAAAATAGTTTTGCGCTGCGTATTTTGAAATAAACTATAGCTTTGTACGCTATGTTTTGCTTTGCGTACCGAATATTTAAATTAGTACAATAGAAAGGTAAAGCGATTCTTTATTATTATTTAAATGATATATTTTTATATTCAAATAGCATGAGTTATGCATGAGCTCAAAGCGCAGCAATACTAACCATATATATATTAATACAATTTCACTTTTCGAGTTAGTCACTGGTCATTATTACAATCGGGGAGGCGGCAGACTAAAGTCACCGCTGCAGGTACTTGTAAATTTATTTATTCTTTTAGCTATGTTTAAAAGGTTTCAATTAAAGTAAAGTTACTTTAGTATTTCATATATAGAATTCAGTATGGCTTGAAAGTCGCATTTTGGTATGTAAGTTAAAGTCAGAATAAAGCTCCGTTGCATGCAAATATTTCAGTCATATATATTGTTCATATTTATTGGAACATAATTGTAAACTTGGTTTACAATTTGTTTACTTGCAGATTATATAATAAAGTATATATAAATTGGACGACTCATTTAATGCAGAAATGGCCCACACGCATTACCACGACAAGTTTATGGGTTTATGGTGACTTATTCCTCATCCCAAGTCGATGTATTATTGGTGTCCCATTTTTCCTGCGACATTTTGGAGGTTCCACCGAGATGGTCCAACTTTATATGGTTTTGACAACGTAGATTTCTACATTTTATAACTAGAATGATCTTGTGAAGTCCCGGTCCGTCATAACCAGTATTTGGCGTTTGCCGTTTATAATATTATACAGTCAAGTTCAAGAAATTAGTTCCGGAACAACGTACCGCTACTTCATGGTGAGACAACAACCATTTGTCAACTTTGATGTCAGCAACTGCTTTATATATTGTGAATTTACGACTGTGAAACCCTGATGTTTGAAAGGTATATTTGAAATTCATATTTCTTATAATGCGCATATCTACCGGGATACTCATACTACATCTTGTAAATATGTTTGATGTTATTCATTATTAGTGAAAGTCAATTTACAAATTTCAACTGAAACATGCACGGTCAGCATACCTGTGAAGGTGAATGTGTATTGCTTTATCACGTGACAACCTAGACAACTGAAGGAATTTAATCGATCAACGTTCCGCACGGATGGAGAATTTTACAACTGTTGCCGGTGAACTGTAGTAGTATTTATTTGACATTCATTTATGAAAACAAATGTTATAAATATTTATTGATTTAAAAATTGTGTTTTATTGTTTGAATATATTTTATCATCTTTACTGTATTTTACAGATTTGATTATTGTTTGTGCTTGAATAGAAGCACGCACCTGATTTAACAAGTTACGCACTAATAGTTACAGCAGCGACTTAAGAAAGCGACTTGTATTGACACAGACATATGAGTAAGTTCATCATAATTACATCATTTTCAATAATAACCGTGGCTGGCGTGGCCGTGGCTATACAGGAAACCAACAAAACCAGAATTATAATTCTCAGACGAGGGGTTTAAACGGGTAAAGGTCTCGGTTGAGGGACAAACCAGAGACTTATATAGGCCTGAGAATGTGCCTAGTCCCAAACTTGTTGATACTCGTACGCAGAGCATTCTGACTCAACGTATGATTGGTTTAGCAAATGAATCTTTTATTTACATTAATAATACAAAGTGTAAGGCTTTGATTGATACAGGGTCCATGATATCAACAATATCTGAAGGTATGTTAAATGAGTTAACACCTCCACCTGAATTGAAAAGTTTAGATGACTTTAGCTTATCAATTATTGTGGCAGGAGGTACCACTTTACCGTATTTAGGTTACATAGAAGCTAGTATAAAGGTTGATTTTGTAGAGCAAGATTTTACGATACCATTGTTGGTTGTCTCTCTTACTGATTATAACAAAAATGTACCCATTATTATTGGTACAAATGTAATCAGATTGTTAGATTCATGTTCAATGGTTGGTAGACAGCAAACTAACATAGACAAGATCCCAAGAGAGTGGGATATTGCTTTTAATTCTATCAAAGATGAAGCAATAGGTCAAGTTTACTCTACAAATAAAAATCCCATCAAGATCAAACCTTTATCTGTCTTAAATGTATCTGGTTTAGCAAGGTCGAAGAAACCAGAAGCATGTACAGTAGTGACTGAGAGTCTGTCAGATGACTTGTCAGATGTGTCAGTATGCCCACGGGTAGTAAACGTTAAGGGGTCAACTTGTCGGGTCCCAGTTAGAATATTTAACATGACTGCCAAAGCTATGGTCATAACACCTAAAACACACTTGTGTTCTCTGAATGAGGTTAAGGTTGTTCGTCATGTTGATTTTCAAAGTGCTGAAAGCGCTGTTGAGGATGAGAAAAGTATTTTGTCTGATCAGGAGTTGTCATCTCTAGGAATTAACTTAGAGAATTTCGATGTTCCTGATGACACTAAACTTAGATTGAAAGGTTTAGTTAGTAAGTATAGGTCTATTTTCTCCCAAGGACCCACTGACATTGGGCTCACAGATCTGATGGAGCACGAGATCCAGTTATCAGATGATAAACCCTTTAGACAACCTTACAGGCGTATTCCACCAGCATTGTTCGATGAGGTAAGAGAACATGTACGTGAAATGTTGGATGCGGGCTGTATAAGGGAGTCAAACAGTCCTTACGCTAGTAACGCTGTTCTCGTTCGGAAGAAGGACAGTTCTCTGAGGTTCTGTTTAGATTTTAGATCTTTAAATAAGAAGACAATTCGTGACAGTTATTCTTTGCCTCGCATTGACGAGACAATTGATTGTCTAGCTGGGGCTAAATACTTTACACGACTGGACCTTCGGTCGGCATATTGGCAAATGGGCATTAAAGAGTCAGACAAGCATAAGACCGCGTTTTCGTTAGGTCCTTTGAGGTTCTATGAGTTTAATAGGCTCCCATTTGGTCTGACAAACGCAGGAGCATCGTTTCAGAGATTGATGGAAAGATGCATGGGAGAAGCTCATTTACGTGAATGCTTTGTATTTTTAGATGATATTGTGGTGTTTTCACGTAGCATAGATGACCATTTTGCTAGGCTTGAGTCTGTTTTTAGTCGTCTTAAACACCACGGCTTAAAACTAAAAGGTAGCAAGTGTGAATTTGTTAAGAAGGAGATTAAATATCTTGGTTTTATAGTGTCCGCCGATGGTATCAAAACCGACCCAGAGAAAGTTATAGCAGTTCAAAATTGGCCAGCTATAAAGAACATTAAGGACCTTCGTAGGTTTATAGGTTTCACTTCCTATTACAGGAAATTCATTAGCGACTATGCTAAGATTGCAAAGCCTCTAAATGACCTATTTCTTGGACACCCTACGAACAAGAAAAACCTTGGGTCTAAACGGAAGAAGTCTAGTAAGCCTAGTCCTTGGAAATGGGGTCCCGAGGAACAGAATGCTGTTGATCTGATTATTGAAAAGTTGACAAACCCACCAGTTCTTGCATATGCAGATTTTTCATAACTTTCATTGTAAACGTTGATGCAAGTGGTACCGGTTTAGGTGCCGTCTTGTATCAAGAACAGGAGGGTCAAGAACGGTGATAGGTCACGCTAGTCGTAACCTACGTGGCCCAGAGAAATTATATCCAGCCCATAAAAGAGAATTTTTGGCGCTTAAATGGGCTGTTACTGATAAGTTTCATGATTATCTCTTTGGTAGCAAATTTACTGTTAGAACGGATAATAATCCACTTACGTACGTTCTCGGTAAAGCTAAATTAGATGCTACCGGCCATAGATGGGTTGCTGCATTGTCAAACTATGATTTCAGCATTGTGTATAGAACAGGCAAGTCAAATATTGACGCTGACGCTCTTTCTAGACTTCCGTCCGATTGTAAAGAAGTTTTTAGTGACGTAGTTCAGGCTATTTGTAAATCTATAGTATTAACTCCAGATACAAACCCTGCTATTGAAACTATATGTTTGTCACATGATATTCAGTTTATAGACAGCGATAGTGAGATTATGACCGATACATCCAAATTCGCTGATATAGATTGGATGTATGAGCAGAGACAAGATTCATGCATAAGTAGAGTTATTGATTTAGTTACAACCGGTCATAGACTCACTAAGCGTCAGATGTCTCATGAGACGGATCTTGTCCGAAGATTATTGAGAGAATGGGAAAAACTGTCTCTGAAAGATAAGGTTTTATATAGGAAAAGCTACATTAATCATGAAGCTGTGTTTCAACTAGTATTACCTTTTATTTACCATGAACTAGTACTGACTGCTCTGCACGACGATGTAGGTCACCAGGGGCGCGATCGTACTTTATCACTTGTGAAATCAAGATATTTTTGGCCAGGTATTGATAGAGACGTAGAGAGGAAAGTTTCGAACTGTCAGAACTGCATACTCAGAAAGTCGAAGTGCAGGAATTCTGCATCATTGGTAAATATATGTTCTTCCTACCCTTTGGAGCTCATTTGTATAGATTTTCTAACTCTTGAGCAGTCAAAGGGAGGATATGAGAATATTTTGGTAATTACGGATCATTTTACGAGGTACGCTCAGGCTATACCTACGAAAAATCAGTCCGCTAAAACTACAGCTAAAGCATTATGGGAAAATTTTATTCAGCACTATTCTTTTCCATCTCGATTTCACAGTGATCAGGGACGAAATTTTGAGGGTAAGGTTATCCAGGAACTGTGTAGATTAGCAGGCATAAAAA